TCTCGATCTCTTGGCCTCATGATCCACCCGCCTCGGCCTCCCAAAGTGCTGGGATTACAGGTTCTTTTTTTTTTTTTTTAAAGCTAAGCCTTGAAGCAAAAAATGCTTTTTGAGCAAGAAGCACCTTTTGATGTCAGCTCACTGCGACTTCCACTGCCTGGGTTCAAGCGATTCTTCCACCTCAGCTTCCTGAGTAGCTGGGACTACAGGGGCATGTCACCATGCCCAACAAATTTTTGTATTATTTTATTTTTTTTTTGGTAGAGATGGGTTTTCAACGTATTGGCCAGGCTGGTCTCGAACTCCTGACCTTGTGATCCACCCACCTCAGCCTCCCAAAGTGCTGGGATTATAAGCATGAGCCACTGCACTTGGCCACACATGCCATTTTTCTTTCTATCCACAGTAATTTAAAAATAGACCAGGCATTGTGGCTCACATCTGTCATTCCAGCACTTTGGGAGGCCAAGGCAAAGGATTCCTTAAAACCAGAAGTTCAAGACCGTCTGGACACCAGCATCTTTCATAATGCTTAGCACATGGCGAGGGGAATGTGAATATGTTAATTAAAATGCAGGCTATATAATTCCAATGAACTAAACCCTCGGACCCCAACCTGGACACCCTAATTGTATCTTCTTCTTCTTCTTCTTTTTAATTATTAGTTCTCTTCAATAATAATTATATCTTAATATATCTTAAAACTGAAATTAACCACTAAGAGATTGTACAGTAAGCAAGGAAACAGAATAAGAGGAGACCTTGATTCTATGTCATTCACTCAAACCTTGGTGAGTCGTTCTGTACAATTAGAATCCTTTTCTTCCTGACAAATTGTTCTCCCCTGAATAAGGCTCAGGAACCATTTACATGTTGAAGAACCTTGATCCCACATTATTTATTCCAGAGATTCCTAACCTGGGGTCACTAAGTGAGGATTAGAGTCCATGAAAACTTGAATCTGTATTTTTAAAAAATGTGTGTATTTATCAGGGTAGTGAGAATAGCTGTTGTAACAAGCAAACTCCAAACTATCAGCAGTTTAACACAATAGCATTTGTTTTTTCTTGGTTGTGCAAAGTCCCAGACGGGTGCATCTGGTCAGAAAACAATGCTCCACATGGTCATTCAGGGATCCAAGCATCTTCCATCCTGGGGCCCCCCCATTCCCTGGGGTTTCAGAGCTGCTGAGGATCCTTTGCTTTTGGCTCATAGACAAGGATCAAGAGAATCTGGAATATCTGGGAGGAGAGGGTTTTTTGTTTGTTTGTCTTATTTTGGGTGGGACAGGAAGTGACATTCATCACTTTCTCCCACTTCCACTGGCCAGATGCTTGGCTGCAAGCAAGTCTGGGAGACTGTTATCTGCCAGCAAGTCTGGGGGATGTAGTGTAGCAGTGCATTTTGGAGGAAAATGAAACTGGTTTTGGTGGACACGTAGCCATCTCAACCACAAGGGCATATGACTATCCTCCTAGAGAGAACTTCTGGGTTCTCAAAGAACTGACAAGCTCCTAAAAGGCTAGGAACTCACAGTTTATTCAGAAAAGGAACACTGTAATTGATGGGGTATCCACTTTTCTAGTTATAATCTCATTTTTGTCATGCCTCCCTGAGACCACACCCACGTTCTTGTGGTGAAACTCAGTATCCCAAGTCCCCTTTGCGTATATTTACAGATTTATTCAGTATACGTTTATTGAGTGATCTTAAGGTCCAGGCATTGTGTTATGGGCCAAAAATACATAAATAAACAAAACCTAGACCCTCCACTCAGAGAGTTCACAGTAATTGGGAGTTATAGACACATAAATGAATGATTAAAAAAAATCGGCCATTGCATTCATTTACAGAGGTTGACTCTGAGTACTATAAGTGTGAGGAAGAGTATTGGCCCAGACTGAACCAAGTCTTCATGGAAGAATAGCAGGGACTAAAGCTGGGAAGAGAGGAAAGAGTTTTGGGGCACGGTGAAGGGCAGGAGAAAAATCGCAAAGACAGAGAAAGAACATGGGGAAAGGTCAAGGGAATGTTAATCAGGGGTGAAAACAGGCAGGTCAGCAGGGTTTGAATTATGGAGGATTGTAGCTAAGAGGATTAGGCCATCTGCTGAATTACTTTGCAGATGGCTAATAGTATTCATTATATGCTGATTCTTACTAACAACTCCCAAAGATAACTTTAATTCCACCTACTGAGTTTCCATCTGCCCTCCCCCTCAACACAGTATCCTGCACACTCAGTGGTGTTGGTGACTGAGGCAAAGCATTGGATAACGACAATGACGGTGATGATGACCATGATCATGATGATGATGGTGACGATATGACGATGATGATGATAGTGATGGCAACACTGGTGACGACAATG